TCACACACTTAACTCGTAACAACACACACTACACAGACAGAACATACACAACACACACTAGACACACACACATGCATATACAATACATAATATACACAATACACACACTACACATACATAACACACAAACAACATATACACAAATAACACACACAGCACACACATAACATACACACACAATACACACATAACACACTACATATAAACACAAACACACAAATCATAACACACACAACACACATAACATATACATAACAACTCATAACAAATAACACACTACACACACAACACATACACATTACTCATAACAACACACATTATACATAACACAACACACATTACACACAACACACAAATACACACAACATATACACACAACATAAACAACACACACACACAACTCATTATACACACACACACATATACACAGCACACACGCATACACACATATATACACATAACTCATAACACACACATATACAAATAACTCATAATAACAAACACTATACACACACAACATGCATAACACACACATACAATACATACACAAACAACACATACTACACACACATAATATCTGCAACACATACACATAACATACACAACACACATGCACATACATACATATACAACTCATAACACACTACACACACACAACACAAAAAAACACACTATACACAAACAACTCATAACATAATACACATAACTCATAACACACACACAAACAACACACACAAAACAAACACAACATACACACACAATACACAAACACACATAATATATACATAACACACACATACACTCGAAACTCATTACAATACACACTACATACAACACACACACAACATACACAACACACACATATATACACAACTCATAACAATATACACAAATATAACATATACAATACACACACACACACAACTCATAACAAACATACAAACAACACACACATAACATACACAAACAACAAAAGAATACTCAAAAACACACACATAACATACACAACACACACTACACATAACGCACAAACACATATACACACAACTCATAATAACACACACACATAACATACACAACTCAAAACACACACACACATACATACACAACACACACACACACATATACACACAACTCATAACATTCATACACACATACACGCAAACAACTCAACATACACAGCACACACACATATCATACACAAAACACACACATACACACACATAAATAATATACACTATACAAACACACATAACATACACAACACAAACACATAATATATACAATACACGCACAACTCATAACTACACACATTACACACACAACACATACAACATACATAACACACACAACTCATAATAACACACTACACACACATAACATATACAACACACACACATACACATATAACTCATAACATACACACAAACGATACACACAAACAATACACACTATACACACAACTCATAACACAATACGCAGACACATAATATATGCAATAATGCAGCCTTATATTAAATGCTACAATCGATGGCAGGTCAGTATACAATGGTGATTTTGTAAATTAACATTAAATATTTGGTATTTGCTGTTTTTGGATCCTTGTCCAGGGTGTCATTCACAAGTTTTACTGGATCACAAGATTAAAGTTTTTCAAGCATGTTTTGAAATGGACCTGATGATATCCATGTTACATTATATTTTCACCTCTAAATCTTAGCCTGGTTTAGTTAGACAACTTAAATATGATAAAGCAAATGCTCCTACCTATATCCTATTTTACCAAGGTGAAGTATCAAGAAATTAGCCAAATAGAGAAAGAAGGCTAAGTATGATTAGCAACAAAATAATTTAACTAGGAACAGAAATGAATTTGATTAATGTGTTATGAGAAAATATTGAACTACATGCAGTCTGATAAAAATGCAGAATAAAATGAATATCATTGTTTTTATACATTAGTAAGACTTTGTTAGATTTTTATGAATGGCCATATGGAGGTCTAGAATGTATACATACAAGTCATACAATTTGTCATATTCCATATCCATGTGAGTCATTTGTTCTTGTTTATATATTATATTTACACCTTGGTACAATGGTCCTATCAAATTGTACTAGGATATACCAGATGATGGTCCATATTTGTATATATCTTTTGCTTCCAAAGTGTTCTGTTTTGTGTTTTGCTATTTTGAAATTATCTCTGTACTCGTGTACATGTGTATAATGCCTTTCTTATATATCTGTTATTCTGTCCAACAAAATGACATTGTAAATATATACTTGCATTACAATAGTTGGATGGCCGGCCTATGAGTGGAGACATTGGCAGAGGTGCAACAAAGAGGCGGTAGACTTTGCCGTTCATTTGGCTGCTGCAAGTAACAAGCCTCATGGTAGATATGCAGGATAACACATATGGATTAGGTAAATAGTGATCGACATAAACATTTCGGAAGCAGGATCAATAATTCTACCAAATTTGGCTTCGTAAGGGTTTTATCAGCAGGCTGGTGGCACTAATGCTTTCACCATCAAGAGTTTAAAGAAACAAGGGCTCTTCCGGACAGTGACCATTGATGGTACGCTCCTTTGTACTTAGTTTACCAAAGGTTGTCTGATTTTACTCTGTTACAACTTCTCTCAGGGTTTTAGTGAATTTACTTCAGAGCTTATTATGTAACAAGCGAAAGAAATCTCATGGGTATCATTCATCAAGAAGTACCACTATGATAGAAATATAAACTGCAAAAAGAAACAAAATAAAAAAAAGAGAATTACATTCCAAATTATGATTTCTTCGAGAGAAACTGAGGAAGTATGAATCAGTAGTGAATAAGTCTTGGTAAATTATACTCTCAGATTCATATATAATACTGGATCTTATGAGATTTCAGTTGGTAGTTTGTGCATGCATCTCCCGATTCACGCAAATTGGTTTCCTTAAGGCTACTGATTGATCATGAAGAATTGAATATCCAGAAAAATATATAACCAGTGGCACATAGATAACACAACACTAGCGACACCAGATGATTGTGCACAAAGTATCGTGAATCAAGATAGTATGCACAAGTTATATATAGTGATTACGATGGCCAAAAAGCTTTCCTCCTTTTATTTAACAGAACATAATAGAAACACACAGTCTTGATTCATGATACTTTGCATTAACATTGGGCGGGCAATTTCTCACAACATGGTGTAGTATGCATGCACAGAATTAGCTAAATTTGTAGAGAATTCCAAAATGAAGATAGCATGTCAAGCTCATGCAGTTAAAGAGTGTAGCATGCATACAGAGAATTAGGTAAATTTTGTTTGAATTAGTGTAAATTATTACCTTTCGTGCATAGCCGTCTTAAGCTATTCCACCAATATATCCCTGTTCAGGACAAGATTGTTTATCCTCATTACTTTTCTCTAAAGAGTTCCCTATAGCAAATAGGGCAAATAGATCATAGGTCATCACATATGTTAGCATTCATGCAGAGAATTCTAAAATGATAATAGCATGTCTAGCTCGTTCAGTTAAAAAGTGTAGTATGCATGCAGAGAATTAGCTAAATTTTACTTGAAATAGTGTAAATTATGATCTTTTCATGCATAGCCGTCATAAGATATTCCACCAATATATGCTTGTTCAGGACGAGCAAAGATATCAACAATGCAAGATATCAATCATCTCAATACCCCAACCAACTGCGACACAGGATTGGATAGGACTCCAAGGTAGTTGTACCTCAATGTGACTTTGACCTTTTATCACACAACTATTAAGAGCTTGTCTTCTTGACCCTCTGACACTGCAGGAGATTGTTGGTGATGTTTACTACTACCACCACCAAATTTATACCTGCTAAATGGCAATACGCGAGCCAATTTGTGGCTTGGATGAGGAGAAAAATCAACACCTCGGGCCAAGAGGGTAATTTTTATATCCAGGCCACAAATGAATTACAATGGCCATCTAACTCTGCTATCCCTGCTCTGCTATTGACATTTCAATAGAAAATTATAATCTGTTCAGTTTTACAATAATGATACTAAAAACATTCCCACAAAATTTCTGAGGAAAAAAAGGGCCACAATTTCTTCTCTTTCTTGTTCTTCTTCTTCTTTCCCTTCTTTTTTTTGGTTTGCCCAGATCATGTAAAGATGCATTAGATCTGTGAATGTCATGAAAATGAGCAAGCATATTACAGGCTGCAGAATGGTTTTGTCATTTCAGTTTACTTGCTCAAGTTGCACAGCTCATGCAATCCCAAAGTTCATCTGAAGTTTGGAACCTACGTGTCACCATACTGGTGTTGAGATCTTCTAATTCATCACTTTTTCTTGGAGGGAAGACATTCTATCCGGATGTTCCTTGGTTCAAATCAAATGTGACAAATTATGCCCCGGTAGGAGCGTCACTTCATCGTACTGAAAATGGCTCCGAACCAGATATGTTTTTGTCATTCACCACCCTCTTGGGCGATGGATTGTTGTGGGGCACCGATGGACAGTCATCTCTACTTGACTGCCCAGTATCTGAAGCATCAGATAAACGATGGATTTGAGGGTTTGCAGATTCACCTTCAATGTCACTTTCATCTGGTCTTCCATTTGAATCTAACTGGGAAGGAGAGTCATGCAAGGGCTCACTTTTACAGGGTGAGTCATGGTTGCCACAGGTCGAAGCCACAGAAGCATCCTCACCATCATTTAAACGAACCTCCAGTTTCTGTTTCTTTGTCACCAAAAGCTTCTCATCTTTCAAACTAACAGTAGTTGATGACTTGCGTTTAATCTTGGGAAAACCATCATCATCATCATTGTCCATGGAAGGTTCTGATTTCCTAGGAGGTGGATTATAGTCATCATCATCTTCGTCGTCCTCATAATCAACCAGTCCAACAGATCCAGACCTACAAAAATATATGGTAACAAAAAATAAAACAATGCATGAAGCACATTCAATGATCCATACATAAAAACTATAGATGAATTATATCTTTAAAGAACCTATAGTAAGCAGTAACATTCTAAAGACGATTAATACACAAAGAATGCCATATTGCTTTGCCACGATGCATTATCAGTTCCTATGGATCAAAATCAAATGATATGAAAAGTGTATCAGATGTCAGAAACAATCAACAATTCAACAACAGCACAGTATCAAAAAATAAGATACAGAGAAAGACCCCTTGTGCTTCATAAATACAAGTTTTGTCGTCAAGGTATATTAAAAGAATATGAGTTGGGATTCCCCAGTTTAGTCAGGATTTTAGACTTCAATAATCCAAATTCTGTAATGGACCTAGATGGTGCTAAACAATCCAAATCCTGAATGAAATAATACCTTTGATGGTAAGATCCAACATGATTGTTTTATTCTTGTACCGTCAAATGTACTTGAATTAAATGTTCTCCATGTTCTATATTGAGATATTTGCAACAATAACACATACAAAAATCTAATATTAACTTTGAGAATATATTTTAAAAGTTTAATTCAGATTTTTTTTATTTTTAGTTTTGCTGATCATGGTGTAAAATATGGGAGGAAAAAAACTCTATGGGTGTTTAGTTTTGTTGATAATGATGTGTCATTGGGTCATTAAAATGCTACATTTACTAGATACATGCATGTTTTTTTAGGGTAAAGTTCTTAAAAAAATAAAAAGGACTAATAGGTACCTTGATGAGTAGTTGACTTTGGTTCCATTAGGCAACGTCGCATGTGCATGTTGGTTATGCATATGCTGAGCACCAGAATCTTCATCACTGAACAAGAAATGGACATCAGAAACACAAGAAATATACTTAACTAAGTAATTATAATTATTTCTAGCAACAGTAGGTTAATTAATCACACCTGTCTTCATTAAAGTAGTCTTCCTCCTCTTTTTCAAGGGTCCGCTCCTCTATCCTTTTTTGAGAGTCGACTGCAGTATTAGTGTTGTTAGCCTCAGATTTCTCCAGACACTGTTTTGAAGCATCAAAACACCCTAATTAAATTGCAAATTCAGAGTATATTTAGCTGCTTTCTTGTTAGTGTATCAACAATTACGGATAGAAGAGCCACTAAATACCATAACGTAGAGTTCATACCTGCTCATATTTAATCTTTAGGGCCTGAATTATCCCCAGATGCTGAAATTTTAGTAGTTGTTCCCAGAAACACTCAACCACATAAATGACCAGAATTTTGAGATTCTCCTACATAAATGAAATACACTAGTAAGAGCAAAATTCAAGGGGCTCTGTGCTTAGAAGAGCACAATAAAAAAAAGTACCTTCCGGATATACTCGAGAAGTTCCAGTACTCCTGAATGCAGCATATTGTATCGATCACCATTCTTGATGAAGGCCTCAATGATCGGTTTCAGAAGATTATTTTTCACAATATGGTGAAGAAGATGCTCATCCTAAAAAAAAGCAGGTAAAATATACCAACCATCAAATCATTGTACGCAAGCAATAAAACTTTGAAGTTCTTGCATGAACATGTTCCTCATGATTTCTCTTTGCAACACTTGCATGAAATTCTAACTTTGTAACAATAAAGAGTCTCTTACTATGATCATGTCACTCATGTAAGAAATCAAAATATTCATGATCATCTATCCTCTCAAAGTAAATATAACAATTATGATATCATAAATAGTAAAATCTAAAAGCTACCACTTTTTTTATTCCCCTACATCCAAAGTCACAAATTTTGTCCAATGTAAGTTTTCAATTGAAGGTATTTCATGAATAATTTCATCTACATTTTTCCAAAATTCCATTTTGTTTGATCATATAGATCAATTTGAGGGGGCATAAGCAATTATACATCCAAAATCTCTTCCCTAAACACAAATTATAAATCCATAATCCTATCATCAGATTTTAGATCATCCTTAAAATTCTTATCTACAACAATATCTATGTTTACAACTTCAATCTGCATGACACAAAATCACTAGTCTTTACCACCAAGACATAGACTAAATCTTGATTGTTTCACACATGGTTCGCATTATCGGTTCGTACTGGTGTACCAACCATGGTTCGCAATACCGTACCGTACCGGTATTTCGACCTGGGCTCAGTACTGGTACGGTACGGTGTACCGAGCGGTACACCCAGGTGTATCGAGCACTGTAGCACTGCTACAGTGCGCTACAATGTTACTGTAGCGCTGCTACAGTGCGGACCGGTACCAGGCGGTCCACGTACCGACAACCTGTCGGACCGGTACGTACCGCCCGTACCGAGCTTACGTTTCGATACGTCAAACCTTGGTTTCACACCCGATATAGGTGTCCCGATCAAAATTGGAGGTGTACTACCTAGTATACATAGCTTACCAGTTGTACTGGTCGGGATTTGGCCATTACTGACCAATATTGGTCGGTAACAGTCAAATTTGATTTGTGTCAAATCACCCATTGACACCAATACCGGTTCATCTTGTTCACAACCTTCCTACAATTGTGGTGGATATGATGAACAATAGATGCATGATGAAAATTAGTCATTTTTCTCCAAGTCGGACACACAACAATAATGCAGTGATGACAATCGTAGCTCCATCACACTCTTATACTCCAATGACATACCAGTTGTGATCGTACTTACTACAAGAGCCTCCTACCAAAAGAGTCGATGATGCGACGACAAATGCGACCACATTATTGCATCAATGGCATAATGTTTACTAGTATCAAATGCCATGTGAGCAGTTACATGCATGGGTCTTAGAGACGTGCAATATTGACATAAGAGTACCCATCATGTCGAGGATCCCGATCCACCAACTATTGAGTCACATAATTCATCTTGATGATAGGAGCACTACCAGGATCTCAACGCTTGGTACCAAACCTGAATTGATCCTAGATGTATCGATACGGGTCCAAGCAAGTATTTGTCTTTGATTTACATCTCATTTAGTATTTTATAAACCTGATTTAGTTTATAAGCATCTAACTTGATTCATCAAGAAAGGTCTACAAGCAAAGACAAGGTTCTGGTAACATTGGAGTTAAATCGGCTAACAAGGCAAAAACAAGTCTCAATTCTCTATAAGAAGAAGCCTCCATTTGTATTGCCACTCTGGATGAGAGAGTTTCAATAATCTATTTCTCATTTTTCCAAACATGTCTAATTTGATTGTATACAGCCATAAATGGGAAGTAATTAGAATAAAATATGTTTTTTATTTCTAGAGTTATTTTATTGTGTTTATCGAAATCTGATATATAATTCTGTCCTGACACTTGGTACATTGGTATGGACCAGTACCATAGTTGCCCGCCCAATGACAGATATCAATACAATCGAGATTGCTTACCTTGATATCAATCTCTATAGATTTTTCAAATCTTTCATAAACAAATTCCATTAATTCTTCTTCTAATGATTGTATCTATAGTTGTAATCCTTTTTCCTTGAAAGTGTTTGGCTATTCTGAGTTACCAATCTAGTCTTTTATCTTAGAATTTTTACCCTTACTATGAATAATACAAGAATTCTTGCTTAAGTTGCACAATGTGTGAATGGATGATTTGATAGGTCAGTTAGAGCAATCTCAGAACCCACCACCCTTTACACCCTTTACACTTTGATACACCTGAGTGATAGTGTCTTGTGTCACTCCTGGTAACAACCTAGTCCTGTAATAAAAGCAGCCAAAAGCAATGCTCATAATATCTAATACAGTTTAATGGTGGCTGCCAGTAACCTAAAACTTAAACGTCTTAATCTGGACTTGAGATCAACATTTGGCAGAAACACTACTTTGAGAATTTTGATATGCATCTTATTGAACTTCTCAACGAGAGCTTTTTGATGTGCTTGCCTACCTTCTCTCAAAGGTTGCCACAAACTTTTCTAACCAAATGTAACAAAAGAAACTACAAATTAATTCAAATCATGACAAGTGGTCCAGGGCTAAAAATCTCAGCTCATTAATGCTACACACATGCAACATTGCCATAACAAAAACAACACTCAAATGCATGAGACTCTTGCCAATTAGGGCTTGACAAGAGTCAAATGTCATGTATGCAGTATCAGGCAAAAGAGAAGCTACTATTTGGTACCAACAAAAACTAGTTTATCACCATTACATTTGACATGATTAGATAATAATTTTATGGTTTCTGCCGTTGTTAAGTAATATGGCAACAACCCTTTTCCTATTATAATATGTTTTTGATAAGAGATAAAGAGTTTTTTTTTTTTAGAGATAGGGTAATTAGCTAGATACGTTTTCTACAATAGACTATCAGTAGCAATATCAGAATGTAAAAGCAAATTTAAAAAGAATATCATGTATCTACATGCATAACATTTGTCCATTTGTGTCTGAACCTAGCCACTGAACAGAAAACATGTTAAAAAATTGATCAAGACAAAATGACCACAGAGAACAGCCAATAATAAACTGTTGTAACATGTTATACCAGTAAAAGGAAAGGAAGCTATTACTTCACTTTTTCAAACATTCGTTGCACATTCCTTGGAAATATATCTTTATCCTGATATCTAGAGATGGATTATAGTTAATTTCAGTTAGTGAAGAGTTTAAAAGTAAGCAGCAGCTGAATTGACTGAGGCACACGCTTTCCAGGCATCACACACAAAAATGATGAAAATTAGATTTATGGGTATATGGTCTTTTTCACAATTGAAGTCCTTTACATAAAACAAACACTCACATTGCGAGAGATGACAGTTCGTATAAAACGAACAGCTGCCACAACCAAAAATCTCTCTCTTCTGTTTGTCAGAAACAAGACCTTCTCCATGGCATTGTTCATAAGAAAGTTGCACCTGAAACCAGAAACAGAAAGAACATTAGTTTCTCTGGCCATAATAAACAAAAATAAAATCTGATTACTTGAAATACATTCTCACTTTATTTTGTAGGGATGTTGAACCACACAATAGCAAAGCAAATCACAGATGTTCGATAAAATTTCAGGCTTAGTGACAGCATGAGATTCAACTCCACCACAAGAGGTAACCAATCTCGGAATGGTGGGAGAATTATTTCTTGTTCGACAAGATGATGCAAGAACATCTATTAATCGATTGAGATGTTTTTCATAGAAAATATCAATAATTGCATCTCTCTGCAACAATCAGAAGTATTAGGCAGGTAAATAGTAAAATCAAAATGAAAAACTATATGAGAAACAGTTAGAAAGATAAAGGACAGAACAATCCTTACAAGCTAATTTCAACATATGATTTCCAACAATCAGACCAGGAAAAACTACCAAATACAAATGGTCTTTCTATGTTTTACCTGCATCAATAAACTTGAATAGTGTCGGCGACACCAAATGCATAACAAGAAAGTACAAAAGTAGATTTGATCAAATGCCAAAAATAATAGCATATAAATCACAGTCATCCCATATGAACATGCCATGAGCAAAGTTGCATTCAATAATTTAATTTTTTTTAAGAGAGGATAAGATTATTTAACAAATACTGGCAATAATTTACTACAAAATGTCATCTTCCAACCACAAAAGACTCACGAACAGCAATAGTTCATAGGGGACTCAATTGCAGGGTCATGTATAAATAAGCATTGATGATCAGAAAATTAAGAGAGTCAGAGCAGCTGGTCCTTCAAAAGAACCAAGATAGATCTGATTATTACACAGGTAAGGCTTGTAAAAATTGAAGTCTGCATTAGGTCAACCATGCGTGTCATACAGAATCTTCATAATTTGCTTATATATATTAAAATAAATAAATAGCGAAACAAAACACAAGAAAAGATATAGCTAGTTTTATGCCTCATGTGAAACAAACTACGAACTCTTTAAGTTAAGCTCATATTACAGAGTTTCAAAATCTACAACGAAACCAAGCTAAAGATCATACTTAAAGATTCAATAAACAATTTAAACAAATCTTTACAAACTTGTCGCTAAAACTATACTAAATCCTTGATTCTTTGCAGTTCAATATATAACCAATTTTTTACTATTATGGCACTCCAAGATAATAGAGTGTTTATCAGAGAGATTTTAGTTGGTGTTAGTTAAGCACCTAGATGTGTCTTGACCAAGGATTGCTGTACCACCCGAAACAGTATGGTTTGGGCGGTACATACTCGTCCGGGCATGGACCGATATATGGACCAACCCGTTTTGGGCGGTCCAAATTAAAATAATAATAATAATCAAAATGTGAGTCCATTTCAGCATATTAAAAAAAAAAGGCATTAGGGCTCTTATCATGTACGAAGCCGCAGCGCTGCCTCTTCGCCACTTCGCCACTGATGCTGCTACCTCCCTTCGACGCTATCGCTGCTTCCCAGGTATCACTGCACTTTGACCTCTTTTCTTTCTTCTTTTCTTCTTTCTTCCTTTCTCCTTCCTCCTTTGTTTCTCCACTGGACCTTCCTTTTCAACCGCTTTTTCTTTCTCATCGAAACACCAGTATGCACCAGCGTACTATGTGTCAATACACTAGTACGGGGTGACACGTGCCATGTTGCCGGCCAGCTGGCATGCCAGCTCGGACCGATGAGTTAAACCTTGGTCTTGACAACCTAGATCTTATGTTTTGTCCAACCTGGCTGTGGCCCATGGCACACACAGCTGTGCTGGGACAAGCAGCCTGAATAGAATGTACTACATGGACTATACACATTGAATTACCTAATAGGAATTAGATATCATAATGTACTATTTCCTTATATGTTATATATTAGAAGGTGCTGTCTATAGGGAAAGGACAAGGTCTTCATGTGAGAATAAAGCAACAGGCTGCAGACGGTGATAGGACCCTAGCAGGGTTGGGTCCTACTCAACCAAGAAGCAGCTAATAAAACCTTATGAGATTATAATAAACCTCACCTAGCCGCCTCTATCCTATAAAGAAGAGTAGCTAGGGTTTATATTGGGCCTTTGGAAATCCTAGCTGCCGCCTCCTTTTATTGGGCCAATTGGTTAGAGCTGAGGGCAAAAGGGGTAACTCACTTAGGAAACAGCCCCTAGGGCTAGAGTTTGGAGTCCTATATAAGCTAGCAGCCATTTGGCCGACTTCTAGGAGGGTGAAACCCCTATAGTGTTCCAAGGAGTAATCTCCCTCAAAGATCAATCTACATAGAATTCCTCTGGGGTTCTATCAGATGGTCACAAGGAAAATTTAAACCCAGCAGATATAACCATTGACGATACACTATTGCTGTTTCCTATTTTAATTATAAGCACAAAGAAAATTGAACTTTATATTCATTAAAACAATTAAGTCTTTATTATGTCAAAAACAAGGAAAGAGAAACCCCAATGAAGAGAAAAACAAGATAGACGTTATCAGCTGCTTCAGAATTTATCCATGGATATATATCTTTAATGAAAACTCATACAAACTTCAAGCCAAAAAGATAAAACAATATACTAAATAGATGAGATATTAAAAAGAAGTTTAAATCTTAGAGCACCTGCAATCCCGAAGCATTGTGTGAATCCACCAATATGCGAATGATCTCAAGGAACTGACAATGCATATCCTCTGTGAAATTGCTTATCATACCTTCAACCTGAGGGGAAAAAGAAGTTCCATAAGATTTGTACCAGAAAAACAAAAACAAAGCCACCAAAGAATACAGACATATAAATTTCTGTTTATATATAAACTAATCATTTTTAGTGGCATAGAAAATGAATTACTTGGTATTATTTCAGCAATACCCATATCTGAATCTGTTATTTAACTTAGTACAGATTTAATGGATACATAGTACAAACAAGTTCTACCAAAAAAAAAAAAAGAGAATTAAATGCTGGTTTCATGGGTAACATAGTACAAAGAAGTTTCTGACTGAATTATTGCCTATAAACCTAAAATAGAGTTTCTCTGTAATATTATAAATAAATACAATTATTATAGTCATGTACACTGTTTTGGTGATGAAAACAATTGCAGCTAGATAAAAGAAAGATGAATAAATGTTACCAAAGGACATGTAGACCAGATTAGTAAATGCTTATAACATGACAATCTCTAAAACCAAAGAGAAGTGGTATTCATTATTCCTACCCATATTTTGAATGAGTGATAAGGAACATATTGACCTACACAACAGATGTGTTGTCCGTCTTACCTGTTGATGGAACAGTCGGCAATGGATATTAAGGTTAAATATTCGTCAGACACCAGTTTTGATAATCTATCAGATAGATAGGTTACTGGTACAAGAACGGTAGACTAGACCTGTAACACTTTGTCCTATTGAACAAAATAATAAAAGAGTATAAATGAACAGTACCAGCACCAATCTATATGTTTTGTGCTAGTACTGTCCAGTTCATGATTAGCGTGATGAACAACTTGGTCCAAAACCTGCTGTGAAGCATGTTTCATGTACATCAGTTTGAGAACACATCAGGTATCATTTCCTCATCAGACGAGGTTTCCAGAATGAATTGTATATTTCAACAACAAAACACATCAAGATGGATTTCCATTTTAAGGTGTACACATGAGAAGTTATTGGAGGGATAGACATCAAAGACCTATGCTCCCCTACTTAACCTTTTTTCACCAAAATTAAAACTCACCCCTTTACCTTGTTTCCTCAAAATTAATAATCCACCAATATCCAAAAACTCTCCAATACATACTCAGATAGGAATCATTATAGAATTTACTAGAATAGCAGAGGTTGGCTGAATAATATACATAACATGTATCCTTAACATGCTAAAATTATCACTCTCATTCTGAGTAGTGGCATATTAAATCAACCATATAAGGACTTCAAACTTGTGTGGTGCGTATCAAATTCATACCTGATATTAATCTTTGGGCACACACCAAGCACAAGTCAAGGCCAGTCAAATATTTAAAGATAACACAACAATTACATCTTGACATATGGATTGAGGTGCTGATTGGTGCCAATGAGTTCTGGCCCAGAATGCCAAAGTGTTACATTGATGCATCCTATATATGATGCCAATGCATAAAACCTGTCATGTGCCTTAGCATGTGATCATCGCAACAGGGCATACATCACAATACAGTGGCAACCCGAACCAGAACCTGAAAAGCACATGGCCCTATATCTATGGTGTGCCACTTATTAGAAGAATATCCATGTGACATGCATTCTGCAGGTTCAACTAACATAAGTCCATGATTCTGACATCTTTCAAGAGAAAAAACAAGGATATATGTTCTACCAGACCAAGCAACTAGCAGCCTGCTTACCAGAAGCCCAAGAAGAGAATTTGCCTCTTGCTGGATGACATATGTTCTGAGAAGACTAGGATCTAGGTTGAGGAAGAGGATAAGGATGTCTGTCCTGCATTATCGATGCAACATATACAGAGTGGAGCAATTTGTATTTCTAACAACAAGAGAAAAAGGTCTACCATTTACCCGGCAGAAACAAGCTTTCTGTCCTGACTCTGCAATGCATCTGTTACGATGTCGAATATGCCTTCAGCAGCAAGATCTCTATAAGCAATAAATACTGTTAAACAGAAACAAAGATATATATGTAGAAACTGAGACTTTTTAATTAACTAATAAAACATTAGAAAAAGGCACAACTGGTTCTTTTTAGTACAAGGACAAAATTAGGGATACAGCTAGCTTTTACAATTTAACCATAGAAGTGTTTCTAGACAGGAAGAATATAATCTAGGTAGGATTATTTTATCATTCAACAAAAAAGTACATCAAAATTGATCCGTCAGCTAAAAAAATTTCATTTAACAATTAAAAAGAAACAGCTACAAGAGAAAAATGGTTATGAGAACAATGTTGCACCGCATCATTGCTTGTTGACATCAAATACTAATTAAAAAAATAATCTTTGCTGGTGCTGGCCCACCACATATCATATTTTGCCTTGTACCTACCGAGCCCAAACTTTCCACATCATCTAACACAATTCCAATTACATCTCTCATTTCTTCATCTTCCTCCTCTTCACCAACACCACCAATCCCTCTTCTTCGGCCCTTTTTTGTGCAGTCAGAGAGGGTGACTGGAGACAAGAGGATGAAGACAGCTGGAGTTGGTACTTTATTCCCCACCTCTGAAAGTTTTGCTAGGGCCATGTTGGGCCCATGTTGGAGATGAAACAAAATAGGACTACAGCCACTTCCCTTCCTTCTTTGGTTATAATAGAGGATGCTGAAACCTTACTCTTCTCCTCAATTTTTGTTGGTGTTGACTGGAGAGGCACAACAATAGCCGGAAATGTAAAAGATGTGCAGGTCCATCCCTATCTTTTCTTCTTCCTTTGCTTTTTCGCTCCCATATAAGCGACTATGGGAAATAGGTTGTGTGGCAGTAGGTGAGGATTAGAGAAAATTGAATGTGACTGGGAGGAAGAAAAGGAGTGACCGGTGTTAAAGAGGGGAAGACCTCGGTTGCAAGAGAGGCAGAGGATAAGGATGAGAAGGTGGTGGTGGTGAAAACATAGGAGAATGAAGAGGAAGACGAAAGCACAATCGTGCTGTAAGCATATCCATTTTGTTAGTGATTGAACACCAGCCATATAAACAGAGGCAACAATTTTGTCCAACAGTCCAATGAACAGGACTCAATTCAACTAAACAATAATAAAAGGACAAAATTAAACATCAAACAATGATGCAAGAGGATTCTTACCAATAATTCCATAATTCACAAAGAGTTGACCAAACTCCAGAACCACAATAAATCCATCAATCCGTTGCCTAATTCTAGACCAATTTACAACATAAAATACATCTATGAGGCCATAATTAAACACCTACCGGAAAAGCCGCAATTGTTGAACTGGCTGCAAACTTTTGCTCAGATTGCAAAATTCATGCAAGAACAATACCTAGAAATGAAGAAAATTTATCTCTCAAAAGAATCAATTTAACAAAAGTCAGAACATATAATCAGCAACATATATGAAATTTTAACACTGTAGTCAGATCAACATCAAAGCAAAAAAGTACATAATATGATCTTATTGGTGTAAGATCACATTTATAAAAAAGGAATTATAACATCAGTCTTTTGTATTCAGAATAGACAATACATAAGAGAAGATATGATATAGATGCCATTATCCCAATAAAGGGCCAACTACTTGCATTATGGAATCTTAGACTAGGTAAGTTTATGCAGGCCCTGAGCATGAGGCCATCACCAAAATGGAATCTGAAAAGGGTTAATGTAAGCAGTCTAAGCCTTGCCATGGTACCAATTTTGGAACAAACATTATTCATATAACATGAATCTGTGACAAACCAAGTACTTCATTCTAAATTTCAGTCAAAAAGAAGATATATATATATAT